GCAGAGCATCTGGTGGATTCGAACCGTGCACCTCTGGGATTGTAGTTGCAGCTTCTTGCCACTAGGCCACCAGAGCTCCCTTCCCTTTTTTTAATTAACTGGTTTGTATACAATAATTCCCAGCTGCCTTGGGCTTAAGGCTGCCTCCTGGTTCAAACCCTAGGCCCAGGCTGGCTAACCTCACTCCAGGGACAGAGCAAACCTGCAGGTCAAACACATTCCCGGAAAAGCAGTCGACTCCAAAAGCTCGCCACGATTCCAGGTTTGCTTTGTGCCCGAGTGAGGCTAGCCACCCTGGGCCTAGGGTTTGAACCAGGAGGTGGCCTTAAGCCCGAAGGGCCCGAGGGCTAGGTTCAAATTGTCTTCCTGTCAAACATTCTTCTAGGTGTTATAGCACTGGTCTGTGCGTTGCTGTAAGAGGTAACTCGTGGTTGCTGTGATGCTGAATCCTGTGACAGTGATGTGCCAATCGTGGTAATGGGCACCCATGGTGGACAGTGTTGGCTGAAGCTTCCCGACTAAATCAAGCCTGGAAGCAGGAGCGGCATCCACTTCCAAAATGGCTTGCCTCTGGAAACTCTATGTACGAACAGTGCTCAGGCTGTTCGTTCATATGGTCACTATGAGTCGTCTACGACTCGACGGCATTAAACAACAACATAGAATAGTTCATATGCATTATTTGTCTCATTTACATGTGTTTATATAATCATTCACATTTATGCAACATACACATTTCGTTCAAGTACATTTTGTTTTATACAATCATATCTATACATTGAATTTTGTGTAAATATGATTGATCCATGACTGTTATGTCCCCAACTCATCAAGACCACATTGCACCTTGCCTATTCATTTACATCCGCCCCCAATGTCTGCTGTCTTAGAGATTTCTTCTCCTTACTACTCCTTTCTCCCCTTTGCCTTTTGAACAATTATACATATACTGTACCTATTTGCTAGTTTCAGTAACTCTGTTATCCTTCTCTGTTCTTCCCAGGTTGCTCCTCCCTTGTCCTGGTACTTAAAATAGTCATTGTCTACACATTCTATTTCTGTTCTCCAATCCCCCACCTACATCTCAGTTACCTTCCTATTTTCACAATAGTAGTCTTACGCAGTATTTGTCCTTTTGTGACTGAGTTATTTCATCCAACCTAATGCCCTTTACTTTCCCATATTTTTTGTATGCTTTGTTGTTCATTGTTGCATAGGATTCCACTGTGTGCGTATACCAGCTTTTCTATACATTTGTTTGATGATGGGCATTTTGACTGTTCTTGCTACTGATTTCCTTGGGATATATTCCTAATAGTGGACTATCTAGGTCATATGGGATAATCTATTTTCAAATTTTTTGAGGAAACACCAAACTGCCTTCCATAGTAGTGTACCATCTTAAAATCTCAGCAATACGTGAGAGTTCTAGAATCCACACCCTTACCAGCATTTATTGTTTATTGTCCTATAACTTTGGTATTGTTGTTACGTTTAGATGGTATCTCATTGTTTTGATTTGTGAATATTAGTGGTTTTGAAGGTTTCCTCGTATGTTTTTTACCATCCAGTTGCCATCTTTTGTGAAGAGTGTTTTCCCCATTTTGTAATTGGCTTTCCAAGTCTTTCTTACGAAACATTGTAGTAATCTGTAAATTTTACTTAGGATTCTTTTGTCTGAAATGTCTTTGCCAAGGTTTTGATGCGTATTTTATTTTTAAAAGGCCTAATTCATTGATTTTTTTTACCCTCTTTTTGTACATTTTTGACTGTTTGCAGGCCTATTCATGCCATGCACCTAGGGCTCCTATATTGTCTCTAATGATTATGGTTTGGGATTTTACCCCTACATCTTTCATCCACTTTAATTTGGGTTTTACATATAATATGAGACATGGATCTTGTATCTGTTTTCTGTAGATAAATGTCTGGTTTTGGCAGCACCATTTGTTAGAGAGACTTTTGTTTCCTCATTTGATGAGTTTTGTTTCCTCTCAAATATCAGTTGACTATAAGTAGATGGGTTGATTTCTGGCTTCTTGATTCTAGTCCATCAGTCTCTGTTTTTCTACCAGTACTGTGTTGTTTTTGTTATTACAGCTGTATATTAGGTTTGAGATGGGGGAGTATGATGCCTCTTTTCTTTTTCAGAAGAGCTTTTCCTGTTCAGGATCTCTCCTGTTTGCAATCAAAACAGCAAATTCCCTTTTCTATCTCTTTAAAAAATGAGTTTGATTTTGTGTTGTATTTGTTACTATATTGGCATTCCGTTGAACCATATAGATTGATTTTGGTAGCTTTGTCATTTTCAGTGTTAAGTCTTCCTATTCATGGAGAGAGAGCAATTATTTTCCCATTTAATTAGGTCTCACTGTTTAAGTAATGTTTTATAGTTTTCCTTACAAAGTCTTTTGTGTCTGTATTTGTGTTTATTCCTAAGCAGTTCATCTTGTGGTTGGCTATTGTAAATGGTATTGCTTTCTTCATTTGCTTTTCTGTGCTTTCTTGGTTGTTATAACGAAATTCAGCTGATTTTTGTATTTTGATCTTGTTTCCTGCCACTCTGTCAAATTGGTCTACTAGTTCCAGCAGGTTTTTGTTGAGTCCTTGGGGTTTTCTATGTACATTATCATACCTTTCTGTGTGTAGCACTAGTTTTATTACTTTGCCAATTTGGATGATGTTTATTTTCTTTAATTGCCTTATATTCCTAGCTAGTACATCCCATATAATACTGAATAGTAGTTGTGATAGTGGGCATCTTTGCCTGGTCCCTGTTAGCAAGAGGGATTATTCTTTCTCCTTTGCTAATGATGTTGGCTCTTCACTATGTTGAAGAAATTTTTTTTAATTCCCATTTTGTTGAGGGTTGTGTTTGGGTTTTTCCATTGTAGTTTTAATAGGCTTACAGAAAGGTTGCGTTTTCATTTATTCATTAATGCACATTTTCCTCCCTGCCCCTCCATTCTTGTTGAGTGTTTCAATCATGAAAGGGTATTGAATTTCAACAAAAGGTCTTTTCTGCATCCATTGATAGAATCATTTGATTCTTGTTCTTTATTCATGTGGTGGATTCTTTTTCTTCTGTTCCATTTATTTCTTAAGACCAATTCCTATTTAGCTTTCTGTTTAACTTTACTTCATCTTTTTGTTTAAAGCAGGAGCTTTTTTTTTTCTTCTTTTTTTGCCATTGAATTGCTATGAATTTATTTAATAGCTTAAATGCATATGCTTAAGACATTCTTGTGTTAACCCACTTGTAGGTAATCTGGTCACTAGAACTTCTCTCTGTATGTAGTCATTTCATTTTGTGCCTCTTCTTTTCTAGACCAAAAAGATCAAACAATGAGTGAAAGGCCTTTGTCTCCACATCCTATCACGATCACAAAGATGGCAGATCACAAATCCCCAACTGTGAACATTGTGTTAGAACGGCCTTGGAATGACAAGTAAGTGGTACTCAGACTGATTTCTTGCAGTTAGTTACCTTTGAATTTTTAATTTCTTCATTTCCCACAAGTCACATCAACTGTTTTGGGTGATCTTATCAAACGCCAAATAATCAGCTAGCTCTGTAAAATAACATATTTGTTAGATGGCCATTGAGTACATGATAGCTTAAGAAGTCTTTCTGTAATCAGTAACATTTTTTTGTTGCTTACATATGGTTTTGCTGATAATGATGATGATAGTATCTGTCTGTGGGGACAAAAATTCGTTCCATGTCAGAGGTTAGCTTGATAAAGAAGTAAAACTATTAAGTGGTTGTGGGATGTTGAGTTCTGTTCAAAGAAAGAAATGAGGCTAACCCTTTTGTTTCCAAACTAGGATGACTGAGCAGTTACCTTTACTTCCAGATTGTTTTGACTGCTTTTACCATTTTTACGTATTTTCAGTTCCCTGGATGAAAGTATGGGAACAGAAGAGAGAGTGAATAAAGCAGACACTTCCCCTCTTGCTCTCCCACAAGCGGCTCAGCACAGCGAGGGCAAGGTGTTCCTCATGGTCCCCCCACCCATGCTGCACAGCATTAGTGAGTACTGCAGTCACTTTGAGCATTACCTCAGGATGATTTCTCACGAGGCTGTTGGTTCTTTCAACCCATGGCTACTAGCTGAAAGGTCAGTAAAATCTTATATGCCCTTTTTTGAATCTGTTCAGGAGCCAAGTTCCAAATATTAAACTCATTTGGGAAACTGTCTAACACAGTGGCAAAGTCTCATGTCATACTTTAAAAATATCAGAACCAGTTGTTGAGTCATACCGGATTCCTGATGTCCTGGAACCATGTATGTGAAAATCCTGCATTCCATAGACATTTTAGCGTGTGGTTTTTATTTATTGAATTTTTTTTTTTTTTGAAGTAGGTTGTCAGACCTTTCTTCTAAGTTGCTTCTAGTTGTGTTCAAATTGCCAACCCTTTTGCTGACAGCCCAGCACTTACCCACTTGCACCATCCAGGCACTCCCATATCTTTCTTTGTGCTTTATTGTTTTAAGGTTGACTGTCTCATAGTGACCTTGTTACAGCAGAAGCCCTGCCCGATCCTCTTGTCACCCTCATTCTGTGCTGGGCTCATTGTGCTCATGAGGAGCCTGTACAAAGACCAAAACACAGTCATTTAAACAGAACAGAAAGATGGTGTAAAATCAGCAAAGGTGTACATAAGGCTTGTTTCTGTTGTCCATATCTATTCAGTCTGTGTGCTGTGCAGGTAACCAAAGAAAATAGACTATATGTTGAAGAATGTAGTGTCAAGATTGGAGGAAGACTCACCAATGACCTACAGTACACAGATGGCATAGTCTTACATATTGAAAAGGAAGAGGACTCAACACACTACCTAAAGTAGATTACAGGTTTCTTCCTTTTTTGGATTAAATTTCAACATTAATAAAATCCTCACAAAATGACCAGTAGATAACATCATAATAGAGGGAGAAAAGACTGAGGTCAGGTGTGTCACTTTATTTGACTCCATGGTCACCATCCATGAAAATAACAGTTAAGAAATTGACACATTGTATTGGTCAGATAGGCTGTCAAGAACCTTTTTAAAATGCTACTGAGCACGGATGTTACTTTAGAGACTAGGGTCTATTAGACCCAAGTGATGACATTTTCCACTGCATGGAAATTTGAAGGTTGAACAATGAGTGAGGAAGACCAAGGAGGCATTACTGACTTTAAGTTAAGATACTGATGAAGAATGGTAAATATATACCATGGGCTGCCCAGAGGATAGCTGAAGTGCTCCTCAGTGGCAAGAATGACTTGTAATGCATTAGGGCCCTGGAATTAAAATATTTGCTTTCAGGCTAATGAATAGTATTCCCCTGCTTAACTGCCTTTTTGTCAGCTATAGGAGCCTGTAAAACAGTACCGGTGTCAGCATCCAGAGGAGCCCTCTGCAGGCTTTGCTCCCCAGGAGCCCTTCCAGAGGCTCAGTACTCAACTCAGGGGGACTTCATTTTACTCTTAGCAAGGGCTGTGACTCATCAGGAACATTGATGAGCAGGAAACAGTCATGATCATGCATTCTTCATAGTTTGAAGTAGGCTTTGAATGTATGAACAAACCTTTTGATGTTGCTGTGTTTTCTTTTACCCCTTCATACAGTGGGTTAATGGTGGCATAGTCTATAGTCAGTTGCAGTAATCTAAGAGAAGGGCCATGCTTTTTCTGGTAGTTCAGATTTACTAGTGATGGTACAAGAGAAATCCTCTATGAGATATACAGCCTAAGAAACCTGGATGACACAGAGAGAGAGACAGGCTGTGGATTACCACCCTTAAAAGAGTTCCAAACCCATATCCTATTGCTGCTGAATATTTGAAGTGTATAGTGACCCTTTTATGTACAGAGTACTAACAAGCTATATATCTCTTCCCATTCTTTAAAAATTGGACTCAGGAGCAACAGTGTCTCTCTGGAGACTAAGGTGCGCCTGATACAGGCCATGGTATTTGCAATCGCTTGTTATGCATCAGAGAGTTGGACAGTGACTAGGGAGGACAGAAGGAGAGTGGATGCTTTTGAGCTGTGGTGCTGGAGAAGGGTACTGAATGTACCATGGGCTGCCAGGAAAACAAACAGATTCATCTTGGAGAGGATTAAACCAAGCTACTCCTTGGAGGCAAGGATTCTGGGGCTTCGTCTGACATACTTTGGACATGTTGCCAGGAGGGACGGGTCCTTGGAGGAGGGACATCATGCTTGGGAGGGTTGAGGGACGGCGCAGGAGGGGAAGACCCTCTATGAGATGGATTGATTTGGTGACTGGGGTAATCGGGATGGGTGTGTCAGAGGCGGTGTGGTTGGCGCAGGATTTAGGGCTATTGTGCATAGGGTCGCTATGAGTCAGAAACGACTCGACGGCACATAACAACAACATGGGTGTCATTAGAAATATTTAATGCAAAAGAGCCTCTAGGAGAGGCTGTGAACACGAGTTGGAGAAGAAAGCAAAAACTAGACTTTCCAGGCACTTCATTTTAATTTCACAGGGGGTACAGTAACTGAGAGGGCTTGAAGGACTCAGGTTGTCTTTTTAGTTGTCTGTGTATGTCTTGCAGTTAGTGAGTCTATCCTCTAGGAAGGTGCTTTTTAAATACTTGTGTTACTATTAATACTATTACTAATCTGTTGAAAAAGAAACTCACTAAAATAGATTTTTATCAAAGTAGTACATGGAGATGATTTTTAAAAGGTCAGATAGGTGAAACTAGCAAGTTCTTTCCTCTTTGAAAATATCGCAACCTATTCCACAAGGACAACCACATTTCATTCTCTTAGCTACTCTGTTATTTACCTTCTGATTTCTAGTGTTTATTTATGTATGTCCGTAAAACAACTCAGTCTGTCTTGGAGAGGGTGAAATCAAGTGTCTCCTTGGAGGCTAGAATTTTGAAACTCTGCCTCACTTACTTTGGGCATGTAGCCAGGAGAGATCAGTCATTGGAGTAGGTCATCTTGCTCAGGAGAGGAAGACCTCAGTTGAGATGAATTGATACAGTGACTGAGGCAGTGGGGGTTGATGTGTCAGAATAAGTGAGAATGGCTCAGGACAGGGAAGGGTTCAGACCTTTTGTACGTTGCTGTGTATCACAGGCAACTCAATGGCACATAACAACAATAACATACTATGACAGGTTTGGAAGCAGGAGTGGCATCAACTTCCTAAACAACATGTCTCCGGAAAGTATGAACTTTGATAAATGTCAGTAATTGTAGAAGGGCTTCAAACCTTTTGTTCATAGAGTCACTATGAGTCGTGCTTGACTCGGAGGCAATCAACAACAGCAACATGCACATAATTTACATTTTGAACATTAGATTTTAAGTTTCTATTTGTAAGCACTCTATCTCACACACTCCATTTCCTTTTTTCCCCACTTTTATTTTCAAATATGGTCGTACTCCAATTTGTATATAAAGCAGTATTCAAATATTACTTATTACAGAGAAGAACTTTTTCATTGAGCCAGAGTTTTACAAATTTCCAGGGATTAACAGTTGCCTGTTGTTTTCTTGTTCTTTTGTGTACTTACTATTATTATTAACTTTGCCCCCACAGGCTCAGCAACCTCTCAGTATGATTTCCTTACAATCCAAACCCATTTCCCCTCCTGTTTGTCCCTGGCCTCCCAAATCCTTGCCTGCTGCTCTCCAGATTTGCTGCAGGAATCAAATTCTAGGACTTCTTGCCCTAGGTGTCAGATGCTTCCCTCCGGGACCCTGTTCCTTATCTTCTCGTGTTCTCCTCTTCCTACTTGTTGAATTACTATCTTGTTTTGACAGCACATATCCTGCTCTGTGTGTTGGAGGATATTTCTTAAGACTTACATGTTTGAAAATGTCTTTATTCTACCTTCATCCTTGATTGATAATTTGCCTGATATAAAATTACTGGGTTGGGGTTTTTGTTTGTTTTTCTAAGAATATTCCTTCCTATTCTTGTAAGGATGGAAGGGGAGTTGTCACTTTGTTCCCGGCAAAGGGTAGAGACTTCACACTCTCATTGCTCATTGTTTCGATTCTCAATTATTCTGTTTCTACCACTTGCTTCACTCAGTAAACCAGTGGAAAACTGGCATCACTCATTGATGTCTGCCAGGGTATTTGGAATACAGCTACCTAGCTGAGAGCTCAGACATTTTTAATCCCTCTAGTGGTTTTTTTTTTCAGCTGTCATATTTTTAATAAGTGTTTTTACTCTTTGAAAGTTACTTTTTTTAAAATAGGAACACTCAGAAAGGTAAAACAAAGCATCATACAGGAGGAAATGCTTCCATATCAGACAGGTGTTCTAGGAGACCCACCATCTGAGTAAGTTTCAGATATGGAAAAAGACAATTAAAAGTTGTCACAGAAAAATCTATAGGAAAATTTCCCCAGAAGACCTTTAGTCTCTAGACAAAAAAGATGATTAAATGACCAGTAACAGGCATGTAATGAAAATGAAGCTTGAGCATCAATGACAGGAACATGGCAGAAGCCTCTTTGAAAAATCAAGGACAAGCAAACCCTTAAAGTGAGCTCAAGGAAGCAAAAAGAGAAACCAAAATCATGAAACTAGGAGTCCTGGCATGTCTGCTAATGTGTTGAGAAAGAATTCCCTGTCTAGGCTACTAAAGTCAATGAAAATACCTTTCAAGAAGGAATCTGGAGCAAAGCTGAGGAAGATTACTACCAGTGAACCTTTGCTACAGGAAATAGTGGAAAAGTGTCTTCAGACATGGACCCAGGTGGAAGGTCAAATATAGGAAGGGATAAAGGGAGGGGAGGGGAAAGGCAAATGTGTAGATAAATGGGTATTGACTACGAAACATTAGTGGTGGTGCCTTGTAGGCGTGGTGTGTGTGTGTAAGTAAAGGAAAATGTGATAGCAGAAGAATGTAAGTCAGGAATTGGATAATTGGGGTTTGCATTGTAAAGTTCTTACGTTGTGTGGGATGATGATAAGAATATCACTGTTAGACTTTAAGCCAAAGACATCAAAGATGCTTGTTGTAGTTATGGGTAAGGTATTTTAAAGGGTGATAAAAAAAATTGTAAATCTATACTAATAGTATTGTAATGGTAAAAAATTAGATAAAAGAGAATAGACAAATATAAAGTATTTAGTAATATTGCAGAATTTTAAAAATTTTATATTATAATAAATGGAAATGCTGCCCGTTCAGTTACACACATTTGACTGATGGACAGTTCCTTATTTGCCTTGTGATGTAATGTAAATTTGCCCTCACATTGAAATTTTTGAACCAACTCTTACTTGCAAATGATTTTTTTATCACATTCACCTTAATTTACTGCATGTGCAGCTTTTAAATCATTGAAAATCTTTCGTGCGTTACACTAAAGTAAGGCCAAGAGGGGTCAGTCCTTGGAGAAGGACATTGTGCTCAGAAGAGTGGAGGGTCAGTGTGGAGAGAAAGACCCTAGGTAAGATGGATTGATACAGTAATTGGTGTAAAGGCGGTAGGTGTAGGCATGTTGAGTGTGTGAGAGACTGGCTCTGGACAGGGCAGGGTTCAGAGCTATTGTACATAGGGTCGTCATGAGTCACTGGCTCCTTGATGGCACATAAAACAACAAGGCTACCTCGATCCTTGTGTACCTGTTTCGATTCACCTATAAAGACACAGGAATGGCTCTTGTTTGTGAACTGCCTGTACATGGCCAATTAAAGCAAAAAATTTGTCAGATTAGCAAAAAAACAAACTCAAGTGGGAACAGGTTAGAACAAATAGAGGGAGGATACTTCATGTAGTTTGGACTTTTTGGAAGGTGGTGGTGGTGTTGTGTGCTGTTGTGGACTGTGACTCACAGTGAACCCAAGAACAATGAGCCTTGCCTGTCCTGAGCCACTCTCACTGCCTCTGACACATCTGACCCCATTGCCACAGTCACTGTGTCAATTCCAGGTCTTTTCAAGAACCGCTCCTTTTTGACAGTATACTCCAAAGTATGTGAAATGAACTTTTAAAATTTTTGCCTCCGAGGAACAACCTGTTTTTACCTAATGCAGGATAGACCTATTTGTCCTCTATACACTGACCCCTGTTAAAAAAGATGAGAAAACCCTGAATTGGAATAGGAATACAACTCAAATGATGAACCTAACTGTATTTCAGATACATAACCTATTTGATCATGGTCAAGATTATCTAGGCTTTGAGCACAGTAATTTTACTTTGACTAAAGACAAGAATTCTAGGATGTACTGAACTCGAGTTATTTTACTCTTTTCCTTGTGGTATGTGTTAGCTAAAGCTACTCTATTTTTGTTGTTGTTGTGTACCATCAAGTAAGATCCAACCCATACTGGACCTTCCAGTGGATTTTCAGAGGCTGTAACTTCAGCAGGGTAGCTGGTGCATTTGAATTGCTTACCTTAGCCTTCACAGCACAATTCCTTTCCACTAAGCAAACAGAGTTCCTGGTGTATGTAGTTGTTGTTATATGCCATCGAGTCACCTGTGACATAGCAGCTCTATGCGCAATAGCTTTGAACCCTGCCCTGTCCTGAGCCAGTCTCACTGTCTCCAACATACCTTTTCCCATTTCTCCAAGGACTGATCCCTCCTGGCCTCATGCCTGAAGTATGTGAGACAGGGCTTCAAAATCCTTGCCTTTGAGAAGAAACTTGGTTTCACTCTCTCTAAGACAAACTTGTTTGTTCTCTTGGTGATCCATGGTATATGCAATACTTTCCTCCAGCACTACGATTCAAAGGTGTCAGTCCTTCTCCTGTCAGCCATTGTCCAGCTCTCTGTGCATGTAATTGTGAAGCCCGTAGGTTGGATCGAATGCACCTTAGTCTCTAGACTGACATTATTGCTCCTCATCGCTTAGAGAGGTCCCTCACAGCAGACTTCCCAATGCTATTCATCTTTTAATTTCCTGACTACTGGTAACATGAGAGTTATCAGATAAGTAAACAAATTTTGAATAATTCTGGAGGAAACTAGAGTGAATGCTCTGTCACACTAGAGTTGAAGATGTGTGTCTGACATTTAAGGTTTGGGGGTTTGTTCATTTGTTAGCAGCAGTGGCACCAGTAGTTGTGAGCACAGCTAGTATTCAAGTTTGGGTTTCTAAATTTTATTCTCCAGAAAATGGTACCAGGGCTCCTTTGAAAAACAGCTAATACCAGCATTGAGACTCATGCTGTCCCAGAAAAGGAGAACTCGAAGAATGATGCGGTCATGTCAGCAGGACTCATGAGCCAGTTTGAAGGGACTCCTTTTAGCCAGATCTGGAACAATCATTGTGTCAAAGTGTACATAGTGACAGATTATAAATTGATGGACAAAATAAGAATATGTAAGGAAAACCTGACAAAGTAATGCATCACTAAATGAGGCAGAGGAAAATCTCATTGCAGAATGTCAACTGTTAGATGTAGAAAGACTTAAATGCAGAAGGCAACTGTCATGGAAATAGCTAGACACGTTTAATGAGAAAGGCAGGGTATTTACATTGTCTCACAGTATTGCTCTATAATACTATAAAAATTAATAACAAAGGGAAAACCTGGCAGACATAACCTTAACCAGACAATCAAAGGTAACATCAGCAGTAATGGGACAAAGCCATCACAGCTTTTTGAGAACCCCTCTCTAGCATTTGTTCCAAACATACATCTAGAATGTTAATTTATGGAAACATCAGGCCCAAAGCAAGGGGGTGTTACCTGAGCTTTTAAAAAATTTAAGGTCATAAAAGTAATTTTCAAGATGTTCCAGGGAAAAGAAAAGTTGTGTAAGCATGTGAGAAAGAACACAGATTCAGATTACCTACTTTGCTTCCACAGAGCAAGCTTGCACCCCTTCCTCTTCATCAGCGACTCTGGAGTGGGGTGCAGCTAGCTCCTCTCTGCTTTAATGTATGGAAAATGAGGACCGTCCTGGGTATTCCAGGCTCTTTCCTCCAGCAGGATTGAGGATCTAAGCATGACAGTCTTAATGTGCAGTAGAGCCTCTCTCACTTTGTTTTTCTCTTTCAGTAATATTTTTTACTGTGTTTGGCCTTTTGCATTTCCATTTACATTTTGTAGAATGGCTTGCTGAGTACAGAGATGGCTCCATTCTTGGTGGTGCATGCCTTTAGCTATGTTGTTTGTCTTCCAGCTTTTCTGAAGAGCTGGTAGATGAAGCCCTGGGGGCCGTGGCTGCTGAACTTCAGGATGTATGTGAAGATTATGCAGAAGCTGTGTTCACCTCAGAATTCTTAGAGGCTGCTACTTAATGGCTGTCCAAGGAGGGGCCTTGTCACCCTGTCGCCCTGGAGAAGGGCAGCACCACCCTGTTTTTGCCACAGGAACTCTTTCTCCTCAGCTACCCGTCCAGGTCCAGAAGGTGCTGCCCACTGGAAGGAAGGCAATGCCACTGATGGCATCCTCGGTCTGCATTTTCCAATTGTCCTAGCAGTGGTTCTGGTAGTTTATGACCGGTTGTGTTACATTCATTAGCGCCCAGGAAATGTGAATTGATTATGACAATATATTTTCTGAATGTGTAATTTTCCTATTGAAATATTATGTTTTTTCTGGCTCAGTTTAATGATCAGAATACTTGGGAAAGTGATCGACCTGCTCACCTACAATAAAAATGTGTTTCACAAAGGGATTCAGGTTGCTGTTGAACCCATGGGTGGCACAGATGCCGACAAATCTAAGTAGTTACCTGGTCCTGCCACCAGGCTCATGCTTCTGATCCAATGGTTTCCTGTCAGGAGACCTGCCTTCATCTGCTGGCTTACAGACCCGTGTCCGGTACAGACATTCGCTAAACTGCTACAGGTCCCTGCTCCATTGAAAATGGAAATTGACTAGTACACACATTAAACACACACATTTCTCGAATGTTTAATTCCTGAGTAGTCTTGCACATATTTAGTTCCCCAATGTTGTCTCATTGTGGGTTGGAATATTTTGGTTAACAAAACTGTCTCCAAATTCTGAGAGATTCTGAGGACCTGAGAAGAGGACCAGGCCTTGCATCTCCTGAAGTCACAAGTGGCTGTTCTCTGTTTCCATCCGGTGAAAGCACCTCATGGGGGGGAAGAGAGTGCGTCCAGACGCCAGGAGTTCCTCTGAGACTCCTCAGAGACAGGAAACTCAAGAACTGTAATAGCGTGGTCCTTCAAATGTCTTCTATTCCTATTTTACCAAGAGAAACAATTAAGTTGAAAAACGAAATGTGCATTAAAAATAGGCCACTGCCTGGAAAAAAATGTCCTCCCGATTTTTTGCCTCAGGCTTGAGAGAGATTGAGTGAAGATTGAGTGATGGGAACCTGCCCCGTGGGGTGATGGGAATCCTTGTAGTGTTGTCATCTGGGGTTTTCTCTTAAGTGCACATATTTCAGGTGATGTTTTAAGCTGCTTGATCACACTTATTTGTGCAAAGTTGATTTTTTTTTTTAGTGCTAATGTTTTCATAATTTTGTATAACATCAGAATTTAAAAAGCCTAAAGGGAAATGAAAAGTCTTTAATTGAAGTTGTTAAATACGTATACTTGAATTGATAGAGTGCCTGTCATTGTTAGTAAATTTGTGTGACAATTTTTACTGTACTGGTTGGTTTATTTCTTTTTTTAAATAAACTCAGTATTTTAAAGTACATATAAGCCTATTTGAAGTAATTTACATCTCCTTTTTTCCCCACAGGCAAAAGTGAAATGTGATTTACAGAAACCACTGAGCATAGCTGCTTATTTGCCACTACCCTCCTCAGAAAACAAGAAATGATAATAAAAGCTAACATGTATTACACACATACTATGTACCAGGCAGTGCTTTCCCTATATGAATTATTCCTCACATCTAGGTCGGTAGATATAGTTAAAGCATTTCATAGAGAAGGAACTGAGGCCCAGAGGGGAGATGGAATGATAAACTTAGATTCAGCACTGCCATGGTCATGGGTTCACTCCTTCCCGGAAGAATATTGTAGCATAATTGAGAGTCCATGAAGCACATTTCTCCACTTTCCCTTGTATGTGCTACACATTGTTCCCTGGGCAGTCCCCTCCCCAGCACTGCCTGTGGTGGCCTGTGCACTGCAGAACCACCCCCAGGCTACACGTTTGCAAGTTCTTCCTAGCCTCCCGCCGCCTCACACAGAGGGCTTTAATCCAGCCAGTATATCTGAGGAGCCATCGTGCAGCCACAGTGAACCCCCTGTAGGCAAAGCCTTCGCCAAGACAAAAAATGTAAGAAATACGAACTTGTATTTGAAAATAGAATTCTAGTGGTTCAGGAGTTGTGCTGCCAACCCAAAGAAGTGGTTCTAATCCACCAGCTGATAGAAGGGAGAAAGGCAGGCAGTCCCTCCCTTGCACTTACAGCCTCTGGAAACCTGCTGGAAGGTCAGCAGTGAGTCCATTCCGATTTGACAGAACATTACATTTGAAAATACAAGTTCAGTTCTCAAACAAACGTTCCTTGTTGCAGCAATGTAGTGAGTGTGGGCCTTCAGAGTTTTTATTTTGGAACAAGAACTGATCGTGTATAAGCCATTCTCAACTCATTACGTTTTCCTCTATTTTGAGACACAGAGACAAATTCAGTATTTTTGTGCTGCAGAAGCTGTCTCCAGTTTACAGAGATGCTGAAATTCTTCAGTACATTTTCAGCTGATCTCTTCACAACCCTGATCCCTTTTTTTTTTTTTTTAAAATAAGTCTTTACATACTTCCCCTTGTCTGTTGAAATGCTTAAAGACGGACATTCTCTCCATGGAGTGGGGTATGTGTGTGTGTGCACGCACACAAGCTCATTGTCAACCACCCATAGCTGAGTGTGTTCAGAGGCAGTACATTCCATGGGAGGAGATTGCCTATCTTTCAGCTGGGCGTGTGTGTGTTGTGTAAGTAAAAAAAAATCTTTGGAAAGAGGTTGCCCATCTTCTTCCTGAAGAACGACTAACACTTAACATTCAGAGTGCCATCTGCCTCTGTTGTATTACAGCTTAGAATCCCTAGAGCTTGCCTTCTAATTCCACACAGATTGGTTGAGGCCAGAAAGGGTCAAGGGAAATTAATCACTACTCTGCATCCTTGGTGCTAGAGCTCCCTGGCTCGGAAGAGAGAGGGTAATGAGAGGATGTTTTATTTCTTCCCCACCCACCTCCCTTGTGCATACCTCCTTCCTGGAGGCAGAGCTGGAGGGGGTGGGAGTGGAGTCTGCCAGAAGGAAAGCTGGGATGTGCATTCACATCTGGGTCTGAGGAGTGGGAGAAAGTCCAAGCGAAGCCCTTGTGACAATAGGAAGGGAGAGAGTCCCAGAAAGCCTCTCTGCTGAAGTGGAGGCTTCTCTACCTCAATAATGTGGCTGAGAGGAAGTCTTTTGCTTAGCAGCTTGTGACCATGATGAGAATTCCCCACAAACCTGCAGATTTCTCAAAGGCGTCTGCATCCCCATACGCTCCTTGTCCCACAGATAGGCCCTTTGGACATACCAGCTGGTGAGACAACTGATGGTTTGAGGTTCTTGCAAAGCAGAAGAGAGACAATGGCATGTCTTAATATACCTTCTAAAACGTTGGCTTGGCTTGCTTCTGTGCAGCTCTCTATTGTTTCAGAGCAGAGATTGCCAATCTCCTTCCTCACTTGTTAGTAACCGAGTCCAAGAACGTGAGCCTGGATGGAGGCTGGGCAGAGGGGCTCCACCATCTGTACTGTGTGCATCCTGCTAGCAATTCCCTATAGGCTTCAGTTAGGTGCCTGGAAATTATAGTCTGGGACCTGGTGGGCTGTCAAGCCCAGATGAACTGATGATCCATACTGATCCTACCTTGGCCTGGAGCTCATAGTGGTCCTCCCTTTAGTAAACACTTAAGTAAACAGCAGCTCTTCTTGCCAGTCTGTAGTCAGGGAGCTCTCCAAATTACTGGAGAGTAGTGATGTCAGCTTGAGGAATAGGGTGTGCCTGATTGAAGCCATGATCTTTTCAGTCACTTGCTATGCATCTGAGAGCTGAACAATGACTAAGAATGACAGATTTGCTGCTTTTGAACTGTGGTGGTAGAGAAGAGTACTGAATATCCCACGGACTGCCAAAAGAACAAACAGGTCTTGGAGAAGGTGGAGCCAGAGTGCTCCTTGGAGGCAAAGATGGTGACGCTTCACCTCACATACTTGGGGCATGTTGCTACGAGAGGTTATTCCTTGGAGTAGGACATCATGCTTGGAAAGGTGGAGAGCAAGACCCTCAATCAGATGGATTGACATGGTGACTGCAGCAATGGGCTTGAGGGGATCATTGTAAGGATGGCACAGTGTTCAGATCAGTTAGTCATGGGGTCTCTGAGTCCTACCCAACTCAAGAGCACCTAACAACAACAACTTGCCAGTCTGTGCAGTCAATCCTGTACACAGGAAGCACGGTAGGGAGCCTGCTGTCACATCTCTCGGTCACTGCCCCCTCCCTGCCAGCTGTAACCCCTTTCATCTGCTCTTCTTCGAGTGTCTGCCTGTCCCTGTGCTCCCTCTGCCTGGGAGTTCTCACTGAACCAATGGACAGTCTCACCAGTTGATTCCCCACCCCACCCCCAGCTTTGATCTTTCATCCATCCAGCTGGACTTTGCCCTGTGGCCTGCAGTTGGGGTCCATTTATTCCCACTCCAGCAGGTGTGTCTGAAGATGAGCTCTGCCATGTTCTGCTGCTGGAGGATACCCCCGACACCTCTACCTACTTCTCTCACCTAAGCCCAGCTCCCCATGGGGCCCACCATCCCTACAGGCTGCTCTCTGCCTCTCCACAAACCTAAGAGAAAGCATTCCTGTCTCCTTGCTGTCACTTTGTTCCTGACTACAGCTATGTTGTCAAGGATAACTTCTCCCTTTAGAAGTCCAGGCCATCTCCTTTATCCCTCTGGTGTCATTCACTCCCTGTGACACCTCTGGGTCATATTAGAATTTTTATCTTGCCCCTAACTCCAGTATCAGAAAACCCTTGGAAAATCTTAGAAGGTCCTTCCCCATCACTCTTGGCACATTTTGGTATAAGCCAACGAGCTACTTGGTTCTTCAATCTCAGCAATCCACAACCCACCCCAAGACCACTCCTGGGAGCTTATCTCTACTGAGACCCTACCCACCTCCAAGTTCATCTCTCTAAAACTTGGCTTTCCATTTAACTCTACACCCCCTGCCCATTTCTGCTCTTGAAGATCTCGCTGTAGGTGTCTTATTTTCTTACCTACTCCTCCAACCTTCTTCACTATCTCTCTACTTCAACCTA